TAATTATAATAAATCTGTGAAAATTGCAAACCTGTTGCTGTCTATATAAGCAGAAATTCTAATTGACATTAACTACTTACATTCAGTGTCCAGCCGGAACCTCAAAGATTTAGATTTAAAGCAGAAATTCCTCCACTAATAATGTCGTAGTTGCTGCAGGTCGGCAAATTAACTGCAACATCACATAGTTGCTCAGCAACCAGGCTTTTATAAAGGAATATAACCAGAATACATACAGCTGGAAACCAGATGGTAATCCATCTGCATTTATAAATAAAACTGCACTTATTTGCAAACCTCTTCCAGTCAGTCAGGAAGGTTGCCTCTGATTTATTGTGCAGTAACCTTGAAATCAAATGGGTTTGATTTGAAGTTGAGGATGTTCATTGCCCAACCTCTGGGTGACCATTTGGTTGCTGCAACTTCCTGCAATTGACAGCAAAAAAAAGATGCAATCATCTGGCAACCAGTGACAGGTTTCCATTCCTGTTTAGTATGACTGAACCATAAGGCAGGTGGGTGAAGCTTTAAGGCAGGTGTGCCTGAGGTGAGTATCAACTCTCACTGATGTCATACTGATCCAAGGCTGATTAGCTGGGTTTTCTTTCAGGGATTATTTTTACATACTAATTATACATTTGATTCGTTGGCCTTGGTGTCTGAAACGTTGGCTACTTTAACAGTATGACATATAAAATCTAAGAAAGTTTTCTTTTTTGTATTTTAAAGCAGCTCAGAGGGACTCCTGCTATTATCAGCAGCACATCACAGTCACACCAGTTTGGTAATATGGAAGTCAAAAGATTGAAAATGGAGCCAACGCTGGTGGACTGATCAGAAGTTTCTTTTATATAATGAAAGTTTACTTGTAATCACTACAAGTTGTGTTGCCTTTGAGTTGTAAGCAGTTCTTTTCACAGATTGAGTCACTTTAAGTTCCCCACTTGTAAATAGCAATGAAGTCTATCCAGAATTCACCAACTTTTGGTATACTGTATTTTTTGTAAACCAGATTTAACATTACTGTACCTCCATATGTCACATCATATCAGTACAGA